TTGGTCAGGTTTGAGTCACCTGTCTTGTCTGTTTCTTCCTGGACGTGCGATCTTTTACTTCCTTGTGACCCCTCTTACTACCCGGCACCCCCAGTGTGGCACACAAGAGCCAGCAGTGACCTTGGTCACTGTAGGAGTGAGTATAAACAAGAGCCTTGCTGCATACCAATCCCAGGCAGGAATTATAAACATCAGACTTTGCCGCTTCTAGTAGAAGACACTGAAAAGATATCCTAGTGCAGTCTCTTAAAAGAAACTGAGCTGAAAAGCAAAAGCACTGAACAGAACTGGTTCTGTTCTAACTCAGACCCGGACAAATCACAGTGTAGCATGGCACTGTCTACAGTTTTGTTCATGCTGGGTATTTTTGCTACTTCAATTTCATTCCACGTAAAATGATGATACTAACATACTTCATGGTGATCGTGTGACAGTGGGGTTTACCTGTGACTCTACAGTTTACAAAGCAAAGTATTAGTTTTCAAACATAAGTGGTATTAGAAGATAAAAACCAAAATTATTCTTGTAGATGGAAATAAGACTTCCAAAACATACAGTGCTTTGTAGTACTAGCATGACATATCAACTTTAGACAGAGATGTAACATACCCATGTATTATTAAGACCAAAGGGTAGGCTTCATACTAAAATAAATATTAAAAGCGTGTCTTAAACTCTGCATACTTCATTGTCCTCGGGATGCACCCATGTCCTTGCAGCAAGTCCCTTCACCATTGCACTGAGTTAGAACTTTGATAGTCGATGATTGTTCTGGAGGGATGGTTTCGCTGGCAGGAAAAATATAAAGCGCTCATCAGATATCTTAGTAAGTTCTGAAAGTGTAAATTAAAAGCATTTTTAATGCTGCAAACTGACTAGCGTCAGATCAGGTGAACATCAGATGCAAAGACCTTTCTGGCAATCAGTTGATTTAGCATATTGCTTATCTTGCAGGTAGCACTTCCACACATCTCATGCTTCGTCCTACATTTCCTGCAGCAAGGGGCCAGTCTCCTCCTACACCCCATTCTTTGTCCTGTTTCTTTTAGGTGCTTCATACAGAAACCCTTGCTCACGTTCCAGAACATAGGTAGAGCTGTAGGTCTCAGTAGACTTGTAGATGAGTGAGATTTATCCAGCTTCTCCAGTACTTGTATGACTACGTGAACATAGCCCAGAGAACTGGCCAATGGCTTTGTTGGTGGAATTGTAACCAACAGAGACAGGTAACCCCTGAATGCACCCTGGCCATGCTGCTTGGTAAAGAGTTTGGCTTATGTCGTATTATGGAATGTCACATCCCACCCAGCAGCAGGGGACAAATGACTTAGATTCATAATACCCCAAAGGAGTGGACAATGATGAGACAAGTCTCAAGGCCCAAACACAACCATTTATTAATTTGTAACAACGTATAGATCGGACTCAGGATAATCGGCTTTAGTTACAAGAGACATTAGGGCAGGCAGTATACTGTAACTTAATGATAACCAGGAAAAGACTAGCTATACCACAAACTGCAGCAAGCTGTGTCTTACTTAATGATAACAAGGAAAAAGGACATATCTAAGGGAGAGACCATGGTGTCATAGAATCATAGAATGGCCTAGGCTGGAAGGGACCTTAGAGATCATCTAGTCCAACCTCCCTGTTTTGGGCAGGGATGCCACCACTCTACTAGACCTGGCAACACATGGGGACCGAGCGGGAATCGAACCCGCGACCTCGGTGTTGGTCCTTGTTGCCAGCACCGTGCTCAAACCACTGAGCTAACTGGCCCCCTATATATATATAATAAATAACTGGCAGTATTATGATTACAGGACAGAAACTAAGTATAAACTAAGCGAGCACTATGATAGGCCTTGCATTACTTAGTGAGAAAGGGGAAAGGGAAAGGGAAAGAAAGAGACAGGGGGAGAGGAGAGAGCGGGGGAAAGAGAGACAGAGCTCACCGGTCCAAGTTCCTGCATTGGTCCCACCAATGAGGGTTCAAGGATGCCGTCATCGTTTCTTCTTCTCCTGCACTTTTCTTCTTGGTGTCTTCATCTCAGTCTTCTGTCTGCTTTCTTCTGTCTCTTGCTTCAACTACTTTCTGTGTCTAATGTCCCTCATTTATACACACGTTTCTGCAGTATGTCAGGTAGGGGATCAAGGCACTTCATTGTTTTTGATAATCCTCACTAGCATGTGTGATTGTCCTATTTCCTTGGGAGGTATGCTACAAGACAAGGCCATCCTGCCTCCACAAGATTACCTGATATCATGCACATGTTCGGGCACCAGGGCTGTTTGAGGCATCTGTTTATCAGATCCCCTCTACCACATTCCATTTGGCATTTATCAGTTTGCCACACAGGACCAGAAACCGGTCTTGTTTTTTGACCAAGCTGCGGGTTTGTAAAATGACAAGAAATGTTAAGGCAAACATTCATGCATCTGGCTGCTACAAGGCATCATAATTTTCTATTGTATTAATGGATCCTGACTGTATTTTGGGTTTGTAGTTTTGAAGTCTGTCAACTGAATAGATTTGTTCATATATATTTCAGTGCCATCACTGTTCTGTTTCATGTGTTTACAACCAGATGCAGTCTCCTGGCATTATCCTGCATAATGAAACTATACCAGTAAAGAAACAGAAATTGAATATACAACAGGGCTTCCAAAGCTTACAACTAAAGCCTTTTCAAGGTCAACAGAGGCTCCTAATGAATTGTCTGTTGGACTTGCAGAAGCAGCAAATGTTTTGGTGGGCTGTTGTTTGTAGGAAGACCAATATCCTAGATTTATGTTCTTGCTCTAGTTTCTGTGGTGTAGCGGTTCTGTAGATCATGGCAACCAAGATGATGTGCTGTGAAGCTGTTTTACTTGATGCTGCAGTTTGCTCTTGTTGCAAACCTATTACTGTTTTGAAGATTTAGGGATTTGTGCATGCAGAGGTTAAAGAGTTAAATAATTACACTGAAGTGTATTAGCAAATAAAAATCAATTTTGTGGGCTTGTGTGGAGGGGTTGTATCTTCTAACATAGAGCTGGAAAAGCAGACGAGTATATTTGGTTGCCCAAGCCCATCTTAGGTGTTAAGCAGAAGCAACAGGATTCAAGCTGCAGGTTGGGAACAATCACTCTGCATTCAATTTAATGATGTACATCAGTTTCAGAATTTGAAAGAAAAAGTTGGCTGGCCACAGACCTGTGAGCAATGGCAAAGGTACTGCTAGTCTCTGGCCACTTTGGAACAGATACCAAGAGACCGGCTATTTTCACTCAGAGAGTAGGAGGGAGGGAGCTGGTGAGGAAACATAGGAAGAAATAAATTGTGCCATACAACTAATCTCTCTTCTTAAAAATAAGGTTTTTAGTATCCAGTAGAACTGTGAATTTTCATTTTTAGGCGTCTTTGAAGGTCTTCCTTTTGAAGATCAGAGGCAGAACAACTCCTGTACAAAGTCATCGCACTGGCAGCCAGGTGTATGTCCCTTATTGATCGTGTGCGTCTCTGCTGCTCTACGTTGTGCAGCTTCAAATTCAGCCACGCAGTTTGCCTGAAAGCACTTGATGTTTACATTAATTATGTCAACTTCTGGGCCAGCTCTGTTGGTTCCAAGTAGCTTGATGGTTTTCTGGTATCAAGGATGGGTGAGGTGATGTACTGGCAGATGTTGCAGTTAGTTCTCAACACTGGTGCTGGTCTGTGCGAATCTTGCTTCTGATGATGAGCCTGAGGAAATGCAGGAAGCGTTTTTAGAGGTGATAAAACTCTCTGCAAAAATATCTGGTCATCTTGTGCAGATTATAATACTTCAGTACTTTTTAATATGCACTCTGAAGTAGAATAATGTGTGGCAACAATGAGCTTCTTCTTGCTTGGAAGGGTGGGGATTTTTTGACAACCGTAAATTTGTGTGCGCTACTCAGGCTTCTCCTGAAGAGATCCCATCCATGTCCTCAAAGTGTGTCTTCACTTGGTGAAAACTGGTTTTATATTGAGAGTGTTTGCCTCGGGTGCTGTTTCTGGAGCAGATGAAGCAGCGTCCAAGGGCCATCTGAGCATCCTTTGGGCAGGTGGCTGTTACGACTGTGAATGTAGCCATGTTGGTCATTGGATTTTCCTGAGTATGACAATTTGTATGTTGTTTGATATTTGCTTCTCCGTTCTCTTCTCCCAAGTTCAATCTCTTCTCCCAAGTAACAAGCAATAGGACAAGAGGAAATGGCCTCAAGTTGTACCAGGGAATCATAGAATGGCACAGGCTGGAAGGGACCTTAGAGATCATCTAGTCCAACCTCCCTGTCATGGGCAGGGACGCCACCTCTCGACTAGACCAGGCAACACATGGGGACCCAGCGGGAATCGAACCCGCGACCTCGATGTTGTCATTGTTGTCAGCACCGTGCTCAACCCACTGAGCTAACTGGCCCCCTAAGGTTTACATTAGGAAAAATAACTTCACTGAAATGTTGTTAAACATTGGAAGAGGCTGCCCAGGGAAGTGGTTGAATCCCCATCCCTGGAGGTTTTTAAAAGATGGTGTAGATGCGGCGCTTTAGGGACTTGGTTTAGTGGTGAACCTGACACTGCTAGGTTAAGGGATCAACTCAGTGATCTTAAAGGTCTTTTCTGACCCAAACAATTCAGTGTTTCTGTGGTTCAGAAGCTGATATCAAAAGAGATAGAGTGAAAATACCATCTCAGTTTGGATTCCTGTACTAATATTAATTCTCACACATCATGCAGGCTCTGTTTCTCAGGTTTTTTTACTGGGCAAAGCAGAGATACGTATCTGAAAAGCTTATTGTACTGAGGACAAAATTCTTAATTTATGTTCCTAAAAGAACATTTGAGTGCTCAAAAGAAAATTTTCCAGATGAAAAGCACTGAGTCATTGAACAGTATTTTATTAAATAGAAGAGGGGTTTTGTGTCTTAATGTTCAGCACTGAAAACTACACAGCATTACCTATGAATGTCTTTAAAACCTGTTTTGTATCTAATAGATTGAATATGAGAAGAAGAAGAAAGAAGATGGAAAACGGGCTCGTGCTGATAAACAACAAGTGCTGGACATGCTTTTTTCAGCCTTTGAGAAACATCAGTACTACAACATTAAAGACCTGGTGGACATAACCAAACAGCCAGTGGTACGTACTAGTAATCTTGCAATATAACCATTTTTGATAGTTAATATTAGCTATATTTTCCATATCCAGAAGACAGTTTAATATATACTACATGCCTTTGAAACAGCTCTCTAGATTTGTTTTACGACAAACCATGAAGGATTTTTAGGAGGTGTAGGATGCCAAACACTGCTGTGAGTATGCTTCTTCTTGACAGAAGTAGTTTAAGTAACCTAAATGTTCTCTATTTAAGTTTGCATTAATACTAGAAACCAGCTTTTGTAATACTCTGACATCTCCCACGCCGCTTGTGGCCTCACTGAAGTAACAGCCTAGTTCTGCTGCTGTGGGCAGTAAAGAGCTTGTGTGAGTGGTCAGCCCTTCCTTCAACTTCTGAATTTATTTTTTTGCTGTAGCAATAAGGCTTGTTCTTTTTCTATGGGTCTAGAAAACTGTGTTTCATGGAATTAGTATTAAATGCATGCATTACCCATGTTAGGAGCTCAGGCATCATGTCAACATTCCCAAAAATCACCTGATTTCCCTTATTAATAGAATAATTTTTAGGCTAGGAGTTTTGAGATTTGGTATTTGGAATTAATTTTGATTTATTTTTTTTAATACTATTTTGGTACACGAACAAGAGAAGCATTAAGACTTGTGCTTACGTAGCATCTGACAGCCCCTTTATCTATGAGCCTAAGTTTCCATTTTTTTTCTCTTCTTCCCCTGTTCAGTCTTTCCTTGAGCAGACCAGGCAGGAGCAGGGGGGAGACAGTGACACGTGAAGTACCTTTGGTGCTTTTGATGTTTTTCACTGCTGACTTAGATATCTATCCTCAACCCAGCTGCAGTTTTCAGAAAACTTAAAGGGACTTAATTATGTTTGAATCTAAATGGTGCAACAAGTTCAAAAGTTGTTAGAGCTAAGACCAGAGAAGGAACAGTGACAGCTGGATTATGGGAAAAAAAATTATCCCTCTGTAAAAGAGGGGAAAAATGGAATTGCTTAGTAGTTTTGTTCACTTCATCTTTAGAATTAAGTGGATCTGTACCAGAAGATTTGTATAAGGTGCACAGTCTGGTTAAGAAGCTGCACAAGGATATTACCCAATTCAAATCCAGATAGATTCATGGTATTCTAATACCTTGGAAGAAACTAGTTGGATAATGTATTTTGTGTCTTCTGTTCCATTCATTTATCTAGTGAGTCAATTCCTTATCTGTGTGAAAGGGAAGGTGTGTGGATCATGGGAGCTGAGAAGGAGGAAGGAATAAGAAGAAGATACAGAGGGAGTGGCAGGAAAATTTAAAGATTTATTTTTTTATTGTAAGGGATAGGCGTAACAGTCACTCTCTCATGCTGAATGTAAGAAATAGTCAGCCACAACTCCCACTTAAGCTGTGAGAGAATTTTTCTCCCTCCTGTGATGCGATACCTGCAGCATCCCAAAGGAGTCTGGAAAAGCTGTGCTTCTGACACAAGATTCCGCATTAATTAATTACTTAATTAATTAATTAAGAGGAGGCTGAGGGGGGATCTCATCATGCTCTGCAATTACTTGAAAGCACATTTTAGAGAGGTTGGTGCTGGTCTCTTCTCACAGGTAATTAGGGACAGAACCAGGGGGAATGGTTTCAAGTTGCAACAGGGCAAGTTTAGGCTGGACATTAGGAAGAAATTCTTCATGGAAAGAGGGGACAG